GAAAAACAGACTATCATCAGCAAAGAGAAGATGAGATACCGAAGGACACGCACGCGTGATGCGCATCCCCGTTATCTTTCCTTGGTTCTCTGCGTGATTTAGAAGGCTAACGAGCGCTTCCGTGCACAGAATAAAAATGAAAGGAGACAAAGGATCCCCCTGTCTAAGACCTCTCTCCGGAGTAATATTTCCTCTCGGAGTAATATATATACTAGATGATAACCCGCGCGCATGCGTGGGGTGAAATTTTTATACTAATATTTATTCATTAAATGGTTTTTAACATTTTGCAATACTACAATATTTATCGGTTATAAAATGATGAATACAAATGTTGGTATCTTAAATCATCATAGGTCTGGACGTTTGATACTTCGTCGGTTTTAGTTTGATTGACATGTATTTTCAGATTTTGATATTATTCTCATAAATCTTATTTGAATTTTACTAATTATCGGATTGGATTCGATTTGATCTTCTCAATTCAGTTTGGATTGGATTGTAACCAATATCTGAAATCATCCCAAAAAATATTTGTTAAATATCAAAAGTTGACAAAAAAATCAAAATATTTAAACTATTAATAAATCTAATTTAAAATTAGTTAAATTATCTAAACAAACTAAAAGATATTAAAAAAAGAAGCAAATAAAAAAACTACAAAAATCTTTCGAATACTATAACTTGTATCTACTAACCTCAAACCTTTTCACTGAAATTTTTAAATTAACATATTTATAATATGAATATCTACTAATGATATTTCATATTCGTACGATTTATGATAATTTGTATCTTCTTTGGAAACAAACAAAGTTAAACTATTGATCATAAAATTTTCAATATGGGATTTTATTATTTTTAGTTATTTATGGTCATTTAAAAAAAATTAAAAATATAACCTATAAAAAAATTAATTTTTTATTATATATTTAAATGTGCTTGTTTAATTTATTTTAATAATTTAAAATTAAACAAAAAAGAGAGAGTATACAAAAATATGTATTATTCATAATCATTAATTACATATATATGTTAATCATATTAGGTAATTCCGTAGCTTTTATTTAAAGAAATAAAATATACTGTTTTATACCTAGCAGAGTTGGTCCCTTAAAAAATGTCTATATATTATAGTCCTAACTGTAATAAATTAAATGTTATATTATTTCATTCCTAGCAAAGTTGGTCTATTAAAAAATTAAAGTTGAGAAGCTCTGTGAGCTTGACACGTACGCATGCTCTCCAAGGTTGTGCATTTATGAATGCTTCAGGATTAATATATAAGGGATTTGCTACGAGTTTGAGGTAGGGATGTTAAAACGAGCTACCCGGGCCCGTTTAAGGTCCTGCCCGTTTAGACCCGTTTAATATATAGCCCGTTTAGACCTATTATCCGTTTAAGCCCGTTTAAAAACAACCCGTTTATTTAGTTACTGCCCGTTTAGACCCGTTAAGCCCGTTTAGGCCAGTTTAGCCTTTTTTCTAAATCTTGTTTTTTTTCGAAATGGAGTTTTATATTTTAACATGTATCTGTTTTTAAATGAAATTATAAATATTTCACTTGCTCTTTATGTAATGAACATGATTTGTGTACCTAATATATATTTATAACCATCTGATTATAAAGTGCAATACAATAAAACATTCTCTTGAGTACATAATATCTGAAACTCATAAAGTGAAATACAACAAATTAGTTTTATCATTAATCTTGTGTCTGAAATTAAAAAGAAAAAAACTGCAACCCATTACATAAACTTCTTCCTCCTCTCTTAATCTCAAAAGTGACCCATAGTCCATCTACATGGAGCTTTTCTCTGCAAAAAAAAAAAAAAATTCAACACACAATTATTATAACAAATTTATTTGAACACACCGAACGTAAAGTGATACATTACACCACTGTGTCAGAGAGAGAGTGGTGGTCCGCGTCGGAGGAGAGAGAGAGAGAGAGTGGTGGTGGTCTGCGTCGGAGGAGAGAGAGAGAGAGAGTGTGGTGGTGGTCTGCGTCGGAGGAGAGAGAGAGAGTGGTGGTGGTGGTCTGCGTCGGAGGAGAGAGAGAGAGAGAGTGGTGGTGGCCTGCGTCGGAGGAGAGAGAGAGAGAGTGGTGGTGGTCAGCGTCGGAGGAGAGAGAGAGATAGAGTGGTGGTGGTCT